CCTGTCCCTTCTGAGCTGAGGGTCCCAGAACTGCACAAAATATTCCAGATGTGGCCTCACCAGGGCAGAGTAGACCTACTAGCTACTCCCCTTCTAACACACCCCAGGATGCCATTGGCCTTCTTGGCCACGAGGGCACATTGCTGGCTCATGGGCATCCTGCTGCCCACCAGGACCCCCAGGTCCCTTTCCCCTACGCTGCTCTCCAGCAGGTCAGTCCCCAACCTATACTGGCACGTGGGGGTGTTCTTTCCCAAGTGCAAAACTCTACACTTGCCCTTGTTGAATTTCTTAAGATTTCTCCCCACTAAACTCTCCAGCCTGTCTAGGTCTCGCTGAATGGCAGCACAGCCTTCTGGTGTGTCAGCCCCTCCTCCCAGTTCTTTGCCATCAGCAAACTTGCTGGCAGTGCTCTCTATTCCCGCATCCAGCTCATTGATGAATATATTGAACAGCACTGGCCCCAGCACTGACCCCGGAGGGACCCCACTAGACACAGGCCTCCAGCTAGACTCTGCCCCATTGACCACAACTCTCTGACTTCTTCCCTTCAACCAGTTAGTGACCCACCTCACTACTTGGTCATCCAAAGCACAATTCCTCAGTTTAGCTATCAAGACGCTATGGGAGGCAGCGTACAAATGCTTTACTGAAATTCAGATCAACCACATCCACTGCACTGCCATCATCTACCCACCTTGTTACGTGCTCATAAAAGGCTCTCAGGTTGGTCAAACATGACTTCCCCTTGGTAAAACCATGTTGACTGCTCCTAATGACCCTCTTATCCTTGACATGCCTAGAGACAGCACCAAGGATAAGTTGTTCCATCACCTTTCCAGGGATGCAGCTGAGGCTGACTAGTCTGTAGTTACTCAGGTAACTGTAGTAACTCAGGTTACTCAGGTCCTCTTTCCTGCCCATTTTGAAGACTAGAGTGACATTTGCTTTCCTCCAGTCAGACTCAACATCCAAGCAACAGAATCCTCTTTAGTCTTGCTTCATTACTTCAATATGAGCATTCTTTTTAAAGCTTCTTAATAGAAAAAACTTCAAGACAGGACTTTGATCCTGGAAGTCCTTCTGCATTTCTCCTTCTGCATTTCTGTTTTAACCTTTAGGAAGAGTTTGAAACATTTGGCTCATAGATTTGAAAAATAAGACGCACGGTTCTCCGAGCTGTGCATATACACTGGATTTCAGGATCACTGCTGAAGTGATGTTCCTTTCCTAGCCTTTCACTGAATGCATTTTTATTGACAGAGAATCTATTGTATCAATGGCTACTTCATAAACACGATATAAAAATTCACTTTACTGATTTCAAATTTAAACACTATGAAAGTAAAATTCACCATCTACAAGCATTAGGGGAAAGAAAACTATGAAACAAATAGAGTGACAGAATATCTTTTCACACAAACACCTCACCCTATAATCCGAGCAAAATATATGCAGATGCCATTGTGTCTTCCAGAAAATACTATCTCAGGACCCATCACGCCACTAACGGATGTACCAGGGTGAGACATGGAATTCCCAGAAGGAAATACGGGAGTTGACACAGCAACAGGTTGTATACCTGGAGTAGAAGTACGTGAATATTACTCATTTGAATGCAAATAAAAAAGCCTGGTTGATTTTTTTTTTCATTTCTCCAACAAAGGAAAAGAAGGAGTTACCTTGTCCAGGTGTTGTCAAAAAGCTAACATTAGCATATGGATTATCATAAACAGAATGAGAACCTAAAAGGGAAAAGAAACAAAGGTAAGTTTGTTAAAAACAAACAAAACAAATTAACCCAAAATATAACCCATAAAATTCCTATGCAAAAGTAACAAAGTTGCTAAATCAAGTACTTTAAAGTTAAAACCATAACAACAGCTTTTATTTATAGCTAGACACTAAACTGCACTGATTTCTTATTAATCCAACACTCCTTAAGTAAATCAAATGGATAAGCTTCTTTCAAGAGCTGTTACTAAGCATTTTTTCCCAGCATTCATGTGTTATTTATTGCATATCATCTATTTCCTGCATTGAATACAATACTGTCCACATACATTTTTTTGGTCTTTACCTGCTGACTTCTCCCATTCCTGATAGGGGCACACTTTAAGTCATTTAGATATTTGCAAATAATATCAATTTTACCTTCAAAGCAACCAGATGAAAGAAACCAGTAACAGTACTCTCAATTTTTACATAGTGCAGTAAAGGATCTTGGAAAGTAATGAGTTACTGATAAAAAAAATATAATTAATTTAATTCAGTAATTCAATCAGAGTTCCAAATTCATAATTTTAAATTTCTTTTTTATAAAAGCCCTTAAAATCTGGAATTGAGTAACATATTGTTAAGGGACAATTTCCTGAAGCAACTGAAAAAACTGAAGTGAATCTGTGCAATACAGAAAGGCCTCTGCTTCAATAAGAATCAAGTTCTGAGGAGAGAGAATAGGCACTATTCTCATTTGTAGGTGGAACTGATGACCTAAGCAGAAACCACGGGTGGAAGCTAGAGCTTTTACAGGCAGAAATCTCTCCAAATAACTTTCATTTCTTGATCAAAATTTGTCTTTTTTTTTCATAAGGAGTATCTGCAGTGGTACAATGACTCTGTAAGAAGATACCCTGATGTAGCCATAAAACAACCAACAAATCTCTATAAAGTTTGAACTATATTAATGATAAGTTGTTTTCTGGCTTTTGAAGTGCCTCTGGCAGCAACAAATATATACCTTCTTCACAAAACCTTAACAGACTGCACGCAACATCCGGACACATCACTGTCTCACTAAACCCAAAAATCAGTCAAGAGAAATGGAAAAAAATTCGGTAAATAATTAGCCAGTGAGTGGGAAATCAATGACTTCTTCAAACAAAAAGAACACACGTACTTGTGAGACAACAAAATACAACACATTCAAGAAGAAAAAAGCTGTCCAAAACCATTAAATGCTTGCTACTTACTGGCAGGAGCAGAACCCAACATAGGTCCAACGTTGCTTGGAGGAGGCAGAGCTGATGGAAATCTCATTTGTGCTTCTCCACCATACCTGAAGTTTAAATGCAAGGGCAGAAATTCCTCACACTTCATACACAGTACATTTAATTTTCATATCTTTAAGAACTCACAGCCATTTTGGGCTTCTTTTAAAATGGGGAATAAAAACACCCAGCAAACCTAAAGAGAATTTTACCAACTCTCAAAATTAGGCTTATGCTTCAGAATCTTTTTAAAATTTCACACTATGGGAAAGTTTAAAGAACGACGTAGTTGAGATGACCTGTGCTTATCCTTTTATTTTCCACCAGTAATTTCTATCCATCTCTCTCCTATAGTGTCATATAAGCACTTTGTCACATCTTCCCTTGCCAACACCCATCTCTCCAGAATCATCCACATTTTCTCTCAGATCTTGTACTGCAATCGGATTTAACAAAGTGCAACTATTCACAGTCTACTGAGAATAAGCGACTTGATAGAACACCCACACAACTTTTGGAAGAGAACAAGCAAGCTTTTGGGAACTTAATACTCCAACACCAGTGCAAACATATAGTCAAAATTGCATATGCTGTCATCACTCTGAAGAGCTGTATCTTACAAATCCCTTCTTTCCTCCAGACTACAAGCCCTGCAAGCACAGCCAAGAGACCCACAATATACCAACTCATTTAAGGCAGCTAATTAAAATATACATTTCTACACCAAACCAAGGATATGCAGTACTTAAGATACAGAGATGGCAAATTAATTTTCTAGAGCGGAAGGCCATACTCCCTCACTCAATTTGTAGTGGGAAAAAAGAAACGAAACCAACCTAAAATAATAAAATCTACATCTATGATCAAGAGCCATCCCGCTCTGAACAGCTTAAGTCCATTTGTATATAAATGTCCTTGGCAGAATAGCGAATAATTGTATAATGGCATAAAGAGCACAATGGCATAAATAACTACAGCATGTTAAGAAAAAACAAAACATACGAACCAAAAAACCCCAACCCTAAAATCTACACAAAAATGAAAAGAACTAACCAGAAATCACCATTACAAGACGCTTACTTTGCTAATGAGACCTAAATCAGTGCAAAAGCATATTCCACCAGGTTTAACAGCCTATGCTCATTTTAAAACAATGCCTGCTCAGGCAGGAGGTCAAAGAACCTGTATTATTATTTAGTGACTGTAGTGATCCTAAGTATAATATTCAGAACAACATACAGAATTGAAACTTACCTGAAGAATGCTCGAGTAGCCCAGGCAGACACTTCTCTATCACAGGCAGCATTAGAACAGGCCAAGATAAGGCAAGTTGCACAGGCCTGATCCTCCTAGGGTACACTATATCATTAGCATGGCAGCTTACATCAAGGTGTTAAGAAATGTATAGAATTTATATTGCTCATAACTAAACAGTAAACACTTTTTGCAGAATGTTATTTAGAAGGTAAGAAAATCAGCTCTTCACAGTTATAGGCAGGAATTGCATCATAGCAAAGCATGCCACTGTAGCAGTGTGGTAGGTTTTTGTCTCACGCAGTTTTTGCAACCTCAGTACAATTACTGGTAGGAAACGATCTCCATGTCTGTCACCTAATTATGACTAAGATTCATGCAATTTCTACAGAACTGTAAATCAAGACTGTGTTTTGACGAAAAAAAGCTATACAAAAAATGGTTTGCATATTCTAACAGCATGTTAAAATTATCAATCAGTACATCCTATGAAAGCACAAGAGAATGGACTACAAAGGACATCCACTACCGAAAGAAATCAGTACTAGTCTAATTAAAACTCTATCTGTGACAGCTCCCTTCCTGCTTGTTTGTTATTTACATCAAAAAAAAAGAGAACACCAATTATTCAAATTTCTACCAGCCTTCAAAATGTAAAAAACTCCTGTAGTGGTAATTTTAACTTTCTTATAAACTCCTGAGAGTTTAGATGAACTAAGATGAACTCCTTTCCTAAACTAAGAACTGCATTATACTTCCGTGTACAAGAAATAAAAATTCCAGGGGACGTGAACTACACTTTCATTTTTAGATATTACAAAACAAGAAGTTATTTCTTGTTATACAATCTTGGTTTATTTTGACAATACAGGATGAAAAGCATCTATCCTCGATAGATGAAATGTTTACTAGAAGATTACAGCACCAACAAATAGATGCTAAGGAAAAGTGATTAGATTTACGTAAATATTACAAATCTTGCATTTTTCCTAATGGGTCAAAACTTTTTACCTGATGCAACTTGAAAAATCTTTCAATCTCTTCTCCATCTCCACCTATATTGCTAACAAGGAGATGTCGCAGCTGATCAACAGGTCTGAGTTTATGAAACATAAAGCTCCCCTGAAAGTAACCCAGAAAAAGTTAGAATAAAGTTGTCTTTGCTCTGGCCATCCCAACAGCCCCTTCCCACAATGCTTTTCTTTAATATTCTAAGTTTTCCTTCATTGCACTATTGGATTGAAGTATTACATGAATGCCTAAAGCCCAATTTCCATAAACATGCAGAAAATCCCCTAGCGTGTCTAGGAAAGGCAGGAAAAATACTGCAATGGCTATAAACTCTCCTCCATAAAACAAATTAATTTTGTTGTTCTTAGCCTAACATGAAACATATAATACAAACATACAATGCAATACAAGCTGAAACACAGGAAGTTCATCTAAAGATGTGCAGGAGCTTCTTTACTATGAGGGTGACAGAGCCCTGGCACAGGCTGCTCAGGGAGGCTGTGGAGTCTCCTTCTCTGGAGGCTTTCAAAACCTGTGTGGATGTGTTCCTGTGCAACCTGCTCTAGCCAATCCTGCTCAGGCAGTGAGGTTGTACTAGAAGATCTCTAAAGGTCCTTTGAACCCCTAACATTCTGAGATTCTGTGATATAGCGAGTATATATACAAAAGAAAGGCTTTACGTATCTTGCAAATCCTCAAAACTGCCTAGAAAATAAATGCTTGGAAAAATTCACGATCAAGTGCATGGCAAGACTCTGCACTCAATCTCTTGCCTGCAACGATAACAACTACTGGAAAGGGTCCGATTAATGCCTTTAATGAAAGAGCTGCTGTTTAACAGGTGCAGGTTGAGTCTAAAGGTTGCAAGACACTAATGATCAAACATTTTTTTTTTTTCTTTTAAATTGCCTGTTGGTTAAGACATTAAGTGCCTTAAAATATTGCTAAATGTAATCAGAAAAGTAGGAAATCATCAAATTATTTAGGTTCGAAAAAACCTTTAAGATCATGGAGTCTATCTAACTGTTAACCTGGTACCACTAAACCATGTCACAAAATACTATGTCTACACGTCTTTAAATACCTCCGGCTGGTGATGACCCAACCACTTCCCTGGGCAGCCTCTTCCAATGCTTAACAACCCTTTCAGTAAACTCCTTTCAGGTAGTTGTTGAGAGTTGTCTCCCCTCAGCCTCCTTTTCTCCAGGCTAAACAACTCCAGTTCCCTCAGCTGCTCCTCCTAAGACTTGTGCTCTAGATCCTTCACCAGCTTCACTGTCCTTCTTTGGACAAGCTCCAGCACCTCAGTGTCTTTCTTGGTTGAGGGGCCCTAAAATACTATTTTTATTTTCCTTTTTGTGTATTTTACTTTTTAATATCCTTTCGAAAACCCCCTTTGAAAATAAAATCATTTTCTATGAAAATAAATCGTTTATTCAAATTTCAATTAGCAACAATATTTACTGAAACTATATTTTCTGAGCAACCAGTGTCTGCTTCAATTTCATATAAACATGAGTGCAAACTAAGTTAAAAGAACTTCTCAGATGATCTATATCTAAAAAGGTCTCAACAGAAACTATTAATACACTGGACAAAAGAAGCTAGACCAATCACTTTGAGTAAATTTAGAACAGGTTCAGAAGGTTTCAGCAATCTTCTTTTCATGTTCAAAATATATTCATTAAAACATATGCAAAATTAACAAACATTTACAGGTTTCTATCAGTTTTCCAACTTCACACTTACTCTTTCAATTTCCTATATTACGAAAAGAAATACTTACCTGGGCTGAAAGGAGAACAAACTTCTTAGGTGGCAGCATGTGTTGCTGCACAACAACTGGTGAATCAGTTATTGGAATAATGTCTTTATTTAGTGGTGTTACAATTTTCTGAATTTTAAATTCATCAATAGCAGAAAGAGCCCAGGAATGTCCATCAACGCGGGTGGTCATCTGAAAAATAGATTCATATTATCCAAAGCTTGGTAACAGACATGGATTTTGTCTAACCGTGGTGATGCTTTATTATTTACACAGAAAAGAATCTACTCTTGACACAAGAAAACCCAAACAAAACAAGCAAGTTCTTGTATTATCTAACAGAAGGCTACCACCACATTTGCAGCTATATATATACTGCTTCTTTTGGGAGATGGACTGTTTTGCATTTCAACGTAAAATAATTTGTGAAGTGGGATCTTTTAATGCTGCTACGATGTAAATAGCAACAATCTGCTAACTGCATATCAAAGGTATCTTTGAGAAATCATTTTAATTCATGAATCAAAAAACGCTGCAACTTAGTAAGTTTACAAGACTTTTACAGTTGGCAGCAGTACTTAAACTAACTCAAGAAGGTAAGTTGGGTAGTGAAGACATTCCAGAAAACTCTGTATGCTAACAAAGAAGAACTGTTCCTCAAGAACAGGCTGCAGTTTTGTTTGGGAAACCTACCTGACTGCTCAGTCAAATGCCTTGGAAAAACCAGAGAAGTCAGCATTTGGGATAATTGTGTATAAGTTCTTGCACAGAAGGGATGTGAAGTAATTATAAAGCTCCTTTGTAAATTACTAAAACAGCAGATAAATCAAAACCTGACTTGGCAACTTTTAACTTACGCAGCCTCTCCAGTCACACCAACTCTATCACTGCTCCTCCAATAAAATGATTTCTGACATGTTACTCCTCTAGTTCAGCAGACTTTTAATGAAGATGTGGCATATCAGTATAAATAAATCCAAAGTCTCCAGTACCCACATTTTAAACAATATTTGTCAAATTTTATCTTCATCAAACATTACTACGAGGACCACTGTGCTTGCACACAATAAGCAGCATACTATAGACAACAATATTTTCATCAGAAGTCAAGGCAAGTGCTTTTGACAGGTAGTTTGCGTCAAGCTAGAAACTATGGCTGAACTAGGAATTCCTGCTAAGACATGAGTTCCCATTCACTGACAAAACTGCTTACTCTTTTTGGTTTTGCTTTGAATCACTACCCTAGTTTGAACTAAAGAAGAACCAATTCTGTTCAGTTAATCTATGTTTCAGCTCTGTCTATTCAAAGAGGCTGCACCTTCTGAACTTAGCAGCATGTTTTTGCAGACAGTGTTTGTTACCAGAAATGATCACATCTGATGTTTAGTTACTGCCTGGGATCAGTACACAGAAAAGCTCTTGGTTATATACTTGCTCCTATAGTAACTGAGGTCATTGCCTAATCTTGCGTAACATACTGGGGTTGCCATGAAGCATAAGGGTCGCCAGGAAGTAGAAGGGTCACAAGGAACTAAAGATTGCACTTTGGGGAGGAACGGACAGGACAGGTGACCCAAGTGTGATCAACAGAGGTATTCCCCATTTCGTATTTGTTATATTTAGTAAAAACCTGAGGGATCACAGGGGTTAAGGCCTTTTCTTCAATGGCTGGCATCCAAGAAGGACTTGGTCTATTCTTTTGCCTTTTCATCCTAATCTTGATTTCCTGAATCCAGCTCCTGTATCCAGCTCTCCTCTGCTGCTGAGCCTGGGGCTTCCCCAGTGCCGCTTGCTCTGCAGCATCAGTGAGGATTGCTAAGCGGGCAGGGGAGTTGGGTTCAGAATTGGGTTTGTATGTATTTGCTTATTTTCATTCTTTCCTTGTTAGTACTATTATTGTTTAATTAAAGCTGGTTTAGTTTCCTTTTCCATTCCACAAGTCTCTCTGCTTTATTCCGTTTCCCCTCCTGGTTGGGGAGGGAGAGGTGTGAACAGAGAACATCTGTCATTTGTTTAGTGGTCAGCCCAGCTGTAACCCATAAAAATCATATTGATTAGTAGCTTCATAAGCATTTCCAAACTCCTCATGGAAGTCTGCTGTGAAATACATGTTTCTTGCAGATAGTATTATTCAAGTGTCTGTTCTCAGAAAGGAAAAACTCATACAATTTTGATGGAATCAAGATATTAGTGTTTGCTTTAGTACCTGAGTTTCCATCATTGGCTTTTGAAAAGGGAATGAATCATGATTGATACACCACAGAATGTCATTATCCTCATTTTCTGAAGCTGCCATCAGCAGGACTCCTAGAAAGAGCAATGATATTACGTTTGTATTATAAGCAATTCACTATTTGATTTCTTATTTGGTTAAAAATCAATCTGTAAATTCCAATCGTACAATCTGAACAGCAAATATCCCCTGAGTTTTTATGTCATAGGGTTCTTCAGAAGGTCACTTTTAATACCATTTGCCATTTACTCTAAAAGGTACAAACAAAAATGAGTCTAAGATAGGTAGAACATGCCTCAAAAATGAGGTTTAAACAAATCTGCAAACTACTTCAAGGATTAAAATATTGGTATTATGACTAAAAGGGTCAGCAAAATACAGACATTTCCTCACTGCACTTCTGCGTCACTTTTAAAAATTCAGCCTACAATGGCAGCTGTTCAGCGTCTCATATGTTAAAGGTAGCTAAATGAGTTAAAAAATAAAGAACAGTCAGCAAAGACTAAAATCAGCATGAGAGGCATTAAATAGGTAAAAGAAAACCCGTATCCTCTTTACTATTATATATATTGCGTATTTTATCCAGAAACAATTACACATAGCTGGAACCATTTAGGTGAATTTGAACACATTAAATCTATTTTATGGAGAGATTAAAAGGAAAAAGGGTTGATCACACGAATAGAGTTCTTTGCTCAAACACTGCACCTTGCAGAAGAACTAAATTCTCTGAAATATGCTAATCTTCCACTTTGCACACAGAAGACATGCTTAGTTCTCACTTATTCCCACTGCTTCCTACTTCTCAATGTAGAAGGTGTGCTAGTGACTGTCACAAGAATCAATCTCACCTGAGCCAAGTCCCACTGCTTACCTTTGCTATAAAGAGCTCTATGAACCTTTGTAGGCTTCTCTACATTAGAAGAAGCTGAAAATCCAGGTGGCAAACGAACATGAACTAAGGCTAACATGGAGGGACGAGCTGTTGGATGCTTAAACTGTGAAGTACTAAAATACAGTCGGACACCTGAACAAGAGATAACAAAAGGTCACAATCTGGCTGAACTGATTATCAGTTTAAAAGGGGGATAATTAGCATTGTTTTCTTACCTGCATGTGTGATTGCTAGTAGTTGACAGTCTATGGATTCAGAATTTTCAATCACTGCTATTTGAACAATAGGCTTAAATACAGAACGATCTATTGTTCTAAAAAAAACCAAAACAAAATCTCATATATCGTCAATCCAGAGAAATAAGCAAACAAGAGTCTTAAAAAATACAGCATGAAACTATTGGCCTTAATGGAAGCCTCTTACATTATAGTTGTCAGAAATATACCTTGCAATGCTCCCAGCAGCAGAAACTATAGCATTTTGTGAAAGAGAAGTAACCCTCGTCATTCCTTGACCATCTTGTCCCAAATCGTAAACCTGCAATTCAATAATATAGCTTGGTGATTTACGGTCAAATTAATCAATACAGCCTCACCTATAAAGCAGCAACTCAAGCTCTACTTTTATTTCTTCTTCATGTTTCCCTATAATTGGAAGAGAAGCTCAAAAAGTTACTCTTTCCTCAGAATAAAGTATTTTAGGTCTTCAGCACACGCTTCATTACAAGAAGATAAACTGGACTAATACCTTGATACACCAACAGAGAATTTCCAGGTACAAAGGAAAACTTAAAAAGATATATGCATATTACAAACACGGCCAACAGTCATTAGAAAAAGTCACATACTTGCAGCACTCCTTTTTCTGAGCGGGTGTATAAGATATTTTGAGAGTTGTCAATGGCAATTTGAACTACAGGATCTGTGGAGACAGGGAAAAAAGTGAGAACCAGCAAATCAGCACTAGATTTAGTGAGAGTAAGTTTAAGACAGAATATCTATAAAATAATTAATTGTACATTAACAAAAATTACAGGAGTGTCACGCAGCACTCCTAAAGGAACTGATTTAAAACAGCAACCAATTTCAAACGATTATTAATTAAAAAAGAGAGAGAAAAATTTAATAACTACGAATTAACTTTTTGTTAAATAGTGAAAGAGGGTAAAATTATTTGCTTAAAGATTCTACTGTTTGCAGTTATCTCACTAAGCATATATTAATTCTGTACTACAGAACACTAACTCTAGTTATAAATTTCCAGGCTTTGGTATCTATATCATGAACTGGACACACAGAGAAGTGACATGATTTTTACAATAATCAACATGCCAAGTTTCATTTACAGTAACTAAATGCTCTGAATGAGGAAACTATTCAGTCTGACTTTTTGTTAGTAAACTATTGAGTAAGTCTTTAACATCAGTACTTACCATCCTCCGAGAATGTAAACTGTAGCAATGAAGGAATAAGGAACGACAGCGCACTCTTTGAATGATTAATTTTTCTGCAGCGCTGGCTAAACCAGCCTGCTTCAGCCTACAATTTAAAACAAATATAATGTTAGGGGAAAAAAAAAAAGAAAGAAACAGAAAACTAGTTCTAATTAGAAAAGTGTTAACAGGAGAAGTATGAAACCAAGCTAAAATCTAATTATGCACCATTGATTTAATTGGAAAACTATGTATTATTCAATTGAAAGAAACAGGTGATCATTAACAGGTGATCATTAGAAGGAAAATTTTACATTAAAAGGGTGCAGGATGTCATAACTTTAAGTTGAACACAGGTGAACTGCATTTACACTAACACATCAGAGCTGCTGTGCAACCAAGCTGTGCAACATAACTACAGAAGAAAAAAGACAGCACACCTGACATGTTTCAGAACCCTTAGTGCCCACAACCACAAAACAATTAAAAATGCCTATGTGAAAAAAGCCTATAGGTACCTGGTACGCTACTTCATATAAGCAGCCATCTTTTCCAGCCAAAAAGATACGCCCGTTTTCTGTGGACGTTATGGCCAGAATGTAAGTATTGTCAGTAGGGAGTGAATAGAGAGGATCTGGTAGCAGCTGCATTCCACCAGACATACTGTCATTGAGTGATCCAGTACCTTAAATGAAAAAAAGTAATCCTCTTTAGTTTTTAAGTTGTTCTAATAGTTAAAGGTCTGTGATAAGCATTTAAAAAAACTGGAAAAACAACAACAAATTTCATGATCACTAAACACCTTCTGGAATAGCTGTTCTCCAAAGTAAGCTGTTCTGTTTTTCAAAACAATAAATTCTCTGCATAAGTTTCCAAGTAATGAAATACAGAGTTTTTCGTTTCCAAATATTGTAATCTCCTCTAAACTGTAACAAGTTGAAAAAACAGTTTTTACTGTTTTTCATATCAACATAGCATAAAAGGAGAGCAAAAGATTCTAATCCTTTCACTTTCTCTAAAGACTTCTGTATATTTTCTCTATTAATATATATGACATAAAGAAGACATTCTTGATTTCTGTGGTTGGAATAAAAATGCCAAACAGGTTAACCAACTGTATTCATCAGTTCCAAGATTCCTGCCCATATCTTCTTTCCATCTCCAACACGCTTTTTGGTTAAGAGAAGTACCTGTTTCAAAAGCTCTTTTTACGTTAAAGTGAATAATACAACGGGAGTCCAGGATCCAGCAAGTGCACACCCCATAAAAATTATGTCCCCTGTCTGCAACAGGATTTAAAAATTAGCAAGGTGCTTAGCATATGGTCTTTCCTTTCTTTTTCTTTTTATTATTTTAAATAGCAACTTGTAGAACAATCATATATATTTATTAATGCAGAGCTAAGGATGACAGGAGAGAAGAGCATCACCTGCTTGTATATTAGCACAACTGAGCCCTAAAATCACAATATCCACAGGGGTAGCCAGAACAAGTAAGTGTCGTACGTGAGGCTGGAAGATACCTGAAAAGGGAGAGAAAATAAGATTTTTGTTTTCAGCCAGTATCTCAGATGATAATGATGTATCCAATGTATAAATTGGAAAAATACATCAACTGATTATAGGGAACAGTCATATTAAGACCTAGAGATCTGTGAAAGCTAGACTTTGAAAGGAGTATCAGTCAGCAGTTCGGCTTCCAGTTCATGAAATACTGGATCTTTAAAATGACATTTCTCTTATATATGTGCTTCTCTTAAATAAATCCTACTACTGACAATCCAATTTTGGCTCCTCTGTTATCTAAGTAGAAGATACCAAAAGAACTGGGAGGGCTAGAAACCAGGATCTCATGGAAGCTATCGCTTAAATGACAATGTAAATTTATAAACACTACAAATGTTAGGGTAGGATGCGGCATAAAAATGCTAACTTATTGGTGTAAATGATTGTTAAACTATACATTATTTTTGGCTTGCGATTAACTTCCTGTTCATAAAAACGAAAAATGCATACCAATACATCCCCCTAGATTTTTACATATGTATATAAAAAAATATAGAGAAGGTTCATTAACTGCCTAATTCTAGTCACTGTGTATTTCTTACCTCCCTTTGGCTTTACGAGACCCACTGCAAGAATTGTTTCACTAAGGCCATCAAAATAAGCCAGATCTCCCCTGTCAACAAGAAAAAAAAACAAAAAACACCACACCTGCATAAAATTTGCCATGTAGTATCACATAATAGCAAAGTAAATAAAATAAGATTCTGTATACTTAAAAATTATTAATACTTATTTTAACACTTCAAAGCCACCTACATCTTTTGCTTTGGGTGAAAGCAGGTCCAGCAGAACAGAACGACAGAGACGTTTCAGAGCAGAACTACATCAGCAATTATTTGAGCTGCATGGATTCCCTATAGCTGAGTTTCAAACCTTAAAACTCAACTGCAGTATTTTGTATTTCATATTTTGTTAATTCATACAACGTTCTCTGAATTACATAATGCAACATCCACAATGCTGATTAACATCAAGGGAGAAACTTACATATTTTTTTCCCCCATGAAAATTATCTAAAGCAAGAATTACCAACCTTCTGCACAGCACCTTACAATAATACTATGCAGTGTTATTTTATCTGGGGAATGTATTTAATACACTGTGACACAATGTAAACACATGGATAGGAGCTATGGGAGCCACAATCTGAACTTTATTCTTAGAAAATGCAAATACATGTATAAAGCAACTCTTACTAAGAGAATTCTTATTACAGTATTACAATACCAATCAAAAATCATCAAGAATGTGTTCACTACATACCCATCTTCATAGTTCCACATAAAGATGTCACTGTCGATTGTCAGCCAAGCTCTGCTGATTTCTGGAAATACTCCCATCATACAATTGCACTGCATGTCTGAAGCACTGCTGATGTAAGGGCCAAACGCATTTTGGCTAGCAAAGGCAAAATCTTATTTAGATCATTTAAAAAACATTAATATTACTTTATACTGCATACCATAATCTTTCAAATTCTTCAAATAGAAACTAATTCCACCAGCAATTCTACACAAATGGACATTGTTACCACTTGCAGAGTTATGAAGGTAACGAGCAATATTAAAGTTCATTACCGGAAGTCTGATAGAATGACTGGGGAAGATGATTATAGGAAAAAAAAAAAAAGTTGTTTCAAATATTACTATTTGCACAACCTATCACACTATTTTCATAAGGATACGTCCAAACTGCTCCACTAGTTCTGGGGGAAGTGGGACTCTGCGGACTGAACTGATTTCTGGAAGATTAGGTATTGACAGCAAACCTGGTCCTTGCAAAGGATAATCCATATCTGACATACCAGAAACAGTAGGGCTCCCTGCAAGTAAGAATAACAAAGATTAGACTTCTTATAAAGACTGAGCAATTGACAAACAAAAGGTTTCTATTTTCTTTATCTTGATCCAATTGCTCTCAAATCTGTGAAATCGAAACTAGACTAATCACATTTCCCATTTTACTTTAGATGAATAACACAGGCCTTCAGACCATGCACAAAAAGAAAGTCTTGATACTTCCCTATGTGAATCACAGTTTCTGTAGGAGCAGGACCATAAGCAAAAAATCTAAACGTCAAATGAAGATTTGCAAACAAACTCTTATAATAATTCATCTGGACACCACTTTACTGTTTACCTCTTTTTTTCTGTGATACTCTCAAACCACTTTTTTTCATCATATGGACAAACATCAAACACGTCACTAGACAAGGGAGGAACATTCACCTAAAAAAGCTACTCTGTACTCCCAGTACCAAGTTAAAGTACCCCAGAACACCCACTGTTTTATGTGATGTGTAGCTACAGTGCTGCTAGGGCAGTTACACTTTGCCAATGCATATCACATCATAACAGAAACAGACACTCTTTGCCTGTATCCTAACACACCCTGGACACATATTAGGTCACCTACAGCTCAAGTGCCACTTCACCGCCCAGTTTGCCAGACCATTGTCACCAACGAGTAGGAAATGCTGCTTGATGTTTTAAGGAGAACAAAACAAATGTTTAAGAAGAGGTACGCCTGACACTGTACTTACATGTGTCCTGGTTTTAGCTAAAAACCCAGTCCTGTTTAGTGATTTTTACTTTCTAGTTTAGTGTCTTCTAAGAGGCTGCACTTTCTGCAGTCAGCAGCATGTTTTTGCAGACAGTGTGTGCTACTGGCAGTGATAACACCTGATGTTCACAGTTACTGCCTGGGACTGGGATGCAGAAAGGCTCTGGCTGATACTCATTCCTACAGTGACCAAGGCCACTGCTGGCTCTTGTGTGCCACGCTGGGGGTGCTGGGAAGTAAGAGGGGTCAACAAGGAAGTAAAAGGTTGCACCTCTGGGGGGTAGCAGAAAGGACAGGTGAACAACACGAGTATTCCATTCCATATATGCCATATTCAATAGAAAACTGAGGGATCATGAAGGTTTAGGTCTTCTTCTTGCTGTTTCCTCACTGTCTGGCATCCAGAAAGGACTCCGTCGGATCTTCTGCCTTTGATCTCAATCCTGAGTTCCTGAATCCAGCTCCTCTCTGCTGCTCAGCCTGGGACTTCCCCAATGCCACCTGCTCTGCACCATCAGTGGTTAACTGCTATTGGGGCGGAGTCAGGTTCCATACGGGATTTGTACATTTTTTTTCTCTCTATTCCTATAGCAGCAGAGTGCAGGTCACAGTTTGCTTTATGGAGGGGTATATTTTTGCTGATACTGGAAGGGTATCCAGTACACATGGAATCAATTGCTCCAGGCATGGAAACACAGCTCTACCATCTGCCATGGACTGATTAATACTGCCCTGGAGACAGGGGGGCTCTGGAACATCTGAACTACATTGATGACATCATCATATGGGGTATCACAGCAGAAAAAGTTTTTACAAAAAGTAAGAAAATAACTAAGATTCTTTTAGACGCTGGGTTTGCCACAAAGAGAAGCCAGGTCAAGGGACCTGCAAGAAGGGTCCAGTATTTGAGAGTTAAATAGCAAGATGGGCGTCGCCAGATCCTAATGGATGTGATTGACACAATATCAGCTATGTCCCCACCAACTAACAAAAAGGAAACACAATCCTTCTTAGGCACTGTGGGTTTCTGGAGAATGCATATTCTGGTTATAGTCAGGTTGTGAAAACTCTTTTTGAAGTGACTTGAAAGAAAAATAATTTTAAATGGGGCCCAGAACAACAACAGGCCTTTGAACAAATCAGACAAGAGGTTGTACATGCAGTAGCCCTTGGGCCAATCCGAACAGAACAGGATATTAAAAATCTGCACTATACTGCACCTGGGGATAATGGAGCCTCTGGCAGAGGGCACCAGGAGAAAGTCGAGGTTTTTGGAGCTGAAAATATAAAGGCTCCAAGGCCAGCTACACATCAATTCAAAAAGAAATACTGGCTGCATATGAAGGAGTTAGAGCTGCTTCAGAAGTGATTGGTACTGAAGCACAGCTCCTCCTAGTACCACGAGTATCAGTTCTAAACTGGATGTTCAAGGGTCAAGTTCCTTTCACGCATCATGCCACCAATGCTGCATAGAGTAAATGGACTCCCCTGATGACACAGAGCTTGAATTTGTTATCTCAGTTGTCCAGGACTTTTAGAATTGATCACAGACTGGCCACAAGGAGCTGGTGACGTGCTGAAGAAGTTGCACTACCAGACAATGAAAAGTAATATGCTCTATTCACTGATGGATCTTGCTGCCTTGTAGGAAATCGTTGTAAGGGAAAAGCTGCCGTGTGGAGTCCCACACGATGAGCTGCAGAAGCAGCTGAGGGAGAGAGTGAACTGAGTCAGTTTGCAGAGGTAAAATCCATACAGCTGGCCTTAAACATTGCTGAATGAAAAAAGTGGCCAGTGATCTATCTCTGTACTGATTCATGGATGGTGGCAAATGCTTTTTGTGGCTGCTTAAAACAGCAGAAGCGAAATAACTGGCAGTGCAGTGGTAAAACTTGTTCGGGCTGTTGCACTATGGCAAGACATTGCTGCCCAGCTAGAGAACTTAGTAGTGAAGGCACGTCATGTGCATGCTCATATGCTCAAAAACAGTGCCACTGAGGAACATGGACACAACCAGCAAGTGGGTCAGGCTGAAAAGGTGTTACAAGTTGACTTGGACTGGGAACACAAATGTGAACTATTTTTAGCTCGGTGGGCCCACGACACTTTAGGACATCAGGGAAGAGATGGAACATACAGATAGGGGTGGATGACCGAGGAGTGGATTTAACTATGGATGCTACTGTGCAAGTTATCCACGACTGTGACATGTGCCCTAATTATGCAATATAAATGATTAAAACCTTTGTGATATGGGGAAGAACAGTTAACATATAAATCTGGGGAGGTTTGGCAGATTGGTTACATTATACCTCCTCAAACTTGCCAGCGTGAGGGCTATGTGGAAGCAATCAGCAGATGGCTGTAAACATATCTTGTGCCTCACACCACTGCCTGAAACACTATCCTTGGCCTTGAAAAGCAGATCTTGTGGTGACATGGCACTCCAAAAAGAACTGAGTCAGATAATGCGATTAATTTAAAAAATAATCTTATAGATAATTGGGCCAAAGAACACAGTATCAAGTGGGTATATTACATCCCTTATCACGTATTCTGGGCGAGTGAAGAACCACCCAGGGTAGGAGCAG